ATTTTGAATTAAAGATTTTTGAATATTGAATGAAGTGATGAGTGAAATGAGTCGATGATCGAAAACGCTTACAGAATACCAATGCGGTTCTTTTATCTTACTGCACTATAAATGACGGGAGAAAGTACATGGGTACCACAAAATATTCGTATCATATTACAAACTCTCAAATTGTTCGTACGTAGCTGTAAAACTTTCAATTTCATCAGGCGAATGAGTATTAAATTTCATCTGATTTCCAAAGCAATAATCACTGCGATGTTTTAATGAACTAGCTAACCCGATAGTTGAACTGTCTTAACTATGAATATTGAATTTTCATTAGTATAATTAACAACAAAAATCCGGGAAAATTTCATAATTTAATCTCTCTTAACAACCTTCTCCTGATAATAACAAACACAACAAAACATCTTACAATAAAAAACACGAGAAATTCGAATTTAAACACCATTTAGTCATGAAGGGGCTTAGGCGCTTATGAACGTCAAATTTTTATATTATAATTTTTTCCATACCGTCCAGTTCAGTATACAGATTCAATTGAGAAGAACTGGCAAGAATCTCAATTAAATTTCCTTTTTTTCAAAGCAGAGGTAAAAAGTAGCGAATTCGGTCCAACCGTTCATAGTGCCGTTATCAGGGGAAATAGAGATTTTTTTTATATATGCATGACATGGTTCTTCCGCTACGGTTCCCCTTCTAACCAAGTTCGCTCCACGTGTTAAATTCAGCAAGATGGTTTTTAGGGCGACTGAGCAGAAACCTAACTACAAGGTAGATTATTAACAATGGGGTCAATTACAAATCCTTCTCTCTGCTAAATGTGATTAGAATTATTGTATTTGGCTTCCTGTTACTAAATTTAGCGTACTAAGTCAATTTGATGGTATTCCAATCAGAGCATATTTTTCTAATTACATAAATAGTTCAACGCAATGTAAAACATGACTAATATAGAATTTCGCAGTTACTAGTTATAATATTTGTACAGATGTAGTCTTATTAATAAACAATGCCTTCAAATGTACTACGTCTGAATTTGTTCAATACAAACATTGAAATTTTTACCTAAATGTCGTTTAACTGAAGTTAGTAATTCGTTTTATGGCAAATGCGTAAGGTTTTATAACAAAATACCAGCGGCTGTTATAAATCTGCCTGAATAAAGATTTAAATGTCATATAAAATACTTTCTTTGCAAAAAAGCTTACTATAAAATTGAAGAATTCGTTAACGACAATAATGTTTTTATAGAAAAACATTAAATCCATAACACTGTCAATATTATCTGATTACACTAATAATGAGTGCGTAGCGACTTTTATGTTGATTATCGGATGTCTCCTACTTGTTATACTGTAATTATTTATATAAAAAAACATCTATTCAAAAGAGCAACATATAAGTTTCTTGCTCATTCTTCTTGTGATGAATCTGCATTCCGAATGAGTGGTAGAATCAAAATATGACTATTCAAAAGTGCTTGTAATGAGTTTATTTGAATAAAGATTATTGCTATTTCTATTTCTAGAACATATCCACAACAAATCAGCAACTTTAAAGTACAAATTTAAAGAAGAAATGGCAAAATTTAAAGTAATAACCACGATTGTGTCAATCTAGGTAAATTTTAGAAAGCTAATAAAATCCTGCCCTATCTAGAAATAAATCTCTTTAGGTATACTCCTAACAGTGGTACTAAGTTAGACTCTGTATCTGATACGCTTCTAGTTGTCAAGATACTACATGTATTCGCTTTTAGGACTGATGAAAGTTTCCACCTCGGGTCAGCCTTTATTTAGATACTGACCCCTTTTAATATAACTTGAATACTATATGCTTTTGGAATAGCCTATGCTGGTGGTAACTGTGTTGGTATTCTCCGAAATTTGAATTTGAAAATGAATCTGTATTATTACTAACAGGTACAACATTTATTTGAAAAGACTACAAGCTGAGTTTCTTATCAGTTCATCTCATCTAGAAACTTCTCATTCCGAACTGACGGTAGATTTGACATATAAGAGTCTGTAATAGACCTACATGAATAATTCAAATTTAAAGTATATTGTCAATTCTCTTGTCACAGTGTTTGAAAGTCATCGAAACGGTTTGACTGATTCTTATGAAATTGAGTAGTGTATTGGGTGGATCATCCAAATTTTTTATTATTATAAATAGAATACAATAATCCAATAAACTTATTGTATCTATTGTCCTTTTTTTGTAATTTAAAGGAAAATTATTAATCACTGGTAACAGTAGAAATGTTCACAAGTTAATGCTAACTGGCATATAACACTTGTAAGGCTAGATAATGTAGTCCTTAAACAAAGAAATGTGATAGTAATCTTAATTTAAGTAAATTATAGAGATTCAACGACCATCAGTGTTATTAATTTTCTCTCAATCAATTCCTCATTGCGCATGTTAATGGCATACCATAAGAACCGTGATCATGCAAGTACAAATTATCGTCCGTGAGATGTACCGTAATCGTATACCGCAAGAAATACGATAGTATGCGATTAAATTGCATCGGAACACGGGAAATGGCGAGCTACCACTCACTTTTATCCCGATGAAATGATAGTGTAGTTTGTATGACACCCTCTGCTGGGTTTCTTCCGTCAGAAAAAGTCTATCATTACATAGTATAAAATAAAGTCGCTGTCGCTGTCTGTCCCTATGTATGCTTAAATCTTTAAAACTACGCAACGGATTTTGAAGGGATTTTAATAGATAGAGAGGAAGGTTTATATATATATAACAAACTGTATACGCGACTTCGTCCGTGTGGAATTTAACTTTATTTTTCTAAAATAAAAGTAGCCAAGTTACTTCTTATTACATCAGCTACCTGCCAAAAAAAGTCCTGTCAAAATCGGTCCAGCCATTTCAGAGATACATGCACATCCGTGCGAAGCCGGGGCGAGTAGCTGGTCATTAAATAGACAAGAAATATACCATGATAATCACGGTATAACGGTAAAATACGACAGTTGTACAATCAAACAAACAAGTGCACAATTGTAAACAACTATGGAGAATCACTGTCATTAAAATTAATGACGATTATAGTCTATAGAAAGGCTTCACTTATTAAAACAAAAGAATACTTAATTCCAAGATTACAAGTGCAATCTTTGATGGCATCTTACTCAGTTTGATGCGTAGTATCAACTGATTCTCTACTTGTTATACCCGAGGAGGGTAAGGTTAATCTTCTTATATTAGAAATAGAGCAGGGTATATTAAATTTTTTAGAGCGAAACAATGCACGCATTGCTATGGATCATGTACGAGTATGCCCCTATTGTTGGTGAAGGTCCGTCCGCAGTTTTGCCTAATTATTTCTGTAATTCTGCTTACATAATGAGATATCGCAATTAATTAAACATTAATTACTAGCTGTACACGCGACTTCGTCCGCGTGGAATTTAACGTTATTTTTCTAAAATAAAAATAGCTTACGGTACTCCTTATTACATCAGCTGCCTGCCAAAAAAAGTCCCATCAAAATCGGTCCAGCATTTCAGAGATTAGCCGGAACAAACAGATAGGCAGACAAAAATTGTAAAAACTGTTATTTTGGTGTATGTACCGTATTTATATTCATATGCATGTAGTAAAAAACGGTTATTTCAATATTACAAACAGACACTCCAATTTTATTTATATGTATAGATAATATTGTTTCATGAATAGCTATTAAACAACGTACATAATGCGACCTCGAGATAATTAATTTATTTTTAGTATTCAGATACGCAGCATCAGTGTCGGTAATAACATGATCATGCGAGATGCAGCTGATAATGTGATCTCCACTGTTTGCAATGCGCTAGAATATTCATAGAGTTACAATTATACAGTTAAAATACGTTTTGCACTCTCTTCCCGTTATTTGTAACTGTGGTTTATATTTTTGCTGGTTTTTTCTTGTATATTTGCATGTGTTATTTTTTCTTTATCAGTAATGAAAATTGCATGTTCAGTTAATTGGTATATTGATTACCTTTGAAAATAGTACGTCTCGATGTTTATAATGATTAATTATAATAATGATAAATGAAATATTGATAAAAATTCAAATTCAAATTCAAAATATCTCTATTCATGTAGGTCTATTACAGACTCTTATGATATGTCAAATCTACCGTCAGTTCGGAATGATTTCGAGATGAGAAGAACTGACAAGAAACTCAGCTCGTATTCTTTTCAAATTAATGTTATACATGTTTACAATAATATAGATTAATTTTTAAATTCAAACTTGGGAGAATAGAGTGACCACCAGCATATGCTAATCAGTAATAATAATAATAATCCTGGACCATTCTCAAAGCGGCATTTGTAACTAACAGCCTTCTTAGTCTAGCCATTTAGCACACCGCTTTACTTCTAATGGTCGCAGGTTCAATTCCTCGCATGGTGCACATATGTATGTATTTACAAAAAAATATATCTAAGTAATAAATACTTAGATATATTTTTTTGACATAACATAAGGTAGGTAGGGTTAGGTAACAGTTACTATAACCACAGATAATATATTACATACTATAACATACCTTTTTTTTAGAAATTCAGTTGAGTTCCTTGCCAGTTGCCAGCCTCTGTGGTCTAGTGGTTTAGCACACCGCTTTACTATCCGATGGTCGCGGGTTCGATTCCTCGCACGGTACAAACATTTGTATTCATGAGTATGATTGTATCGGTCTGGGTATTTTCTATGTATAATATGTATGTATTTACAAAAAAAAATATCTAAGTATTTATATCAGTTGTCTAGTACCCATAACACAAACTCTGCTTACTGTGAGACTAGATGGCGCTGTGTTAATTGTTCAGGGTTATTTATTATGTAAAACATTTTTGTACCCAGAATTTACACCTGTATAAGATACGTTGTGACAAGTTGAGAATAAATACTCAATTGAAAACATACTTGTTTTGTTTTCTATTACTAATGTAATACACTTTCTTTTTTACAGAAAGAGTCTCGTACCGATGTGCAGTTCCACCTGGCAGCGCTGCGGGGTGACTGCAGCAGGCTCCGGCAACTGCTGGACACCGGGAAGGTGCACATCGACTCCAGGGACAGGGTGAGTGGTACTTAAAGTTGTTAGTTATTCTGAGAATAGTGATGATCATCATCATCATCGTCATGTATGTTTATCTATATGTGTATTATAAATATATTGTCTACTGTGTGCCTTCTACCTTCTCCATGTGAATAGACTGACAATACCAGGTTGTCTGTAAGAAATTGTTGTTAGCGATAAGACCGCCTTTTGTATAACATTTTTATATACTTTATTGTTGTTTGTCTGTCTGTGTGCAATAAAGACTGAGTTATTATTATTATTATCATCATCTTAATGAAACATAATAACATATTTTTTACAATGTTATTTTAAATCTTATATATAAAATTCTCGTGTCACAATGTTAGATACCATACTCATCCGAAACGGCTTGACCGATTATTATGAAGTTTTATATGCATATTTAGTAGGTCTGAGAATCGGCTAGTATCTATTTTTCATACTCCTAAGTGATAAGGGTTGTCCACCCCTAACGTTATTATTTTATTTTTTGGACAATTATTTTTCAGACTGTATTTGTATTTTCTATGTATATTATGTATGTATTTACTAAATATATATATATATTTAGTAAATACATATATATATATATGTATGTATCTATCTATGTATTTATATCAATTGTATAGTACCCAAAACACAAGCTCTGCTTAGCTTGGGACTAGATGGCGCTGTGTGAATTGTCCAGAAAATCTTATTATTATATTAGAGTAACCGTGATTGAACCTACTACCGTTATGTATTAGGTCAGAGTTGCGCAAAGGGCACGGAGCGCACTTTGTCTATGAGCCTCGGTTGTGGTTGGTTGTGTAAGAGATTACGTGACTCAGTGGATCGCGGGAACTATAAATCATACAACAAAGCGCTGGCATTACGGATTTACAGCCTATTTGCGGACGCGAGTGAGGGACGGTAGCGTTTTAACTTAATTAACAGTATTTTTATAGTAATACTAGCTGTACCCGCGACTTGGTCCGCGTGAACTTTACCCTTATTTTTCTAAAATAAAAGTAGCCTAAGTTAATCCTTATTACATCAGCTACCTGCAAGAAAGTCCCGTCAAAATCGGTTCAGCCATTTCTGAGATTAGCTGGAAGAAACAGATAGACAGACAAAAATTGTAAAAATTGATATTTTTACACCATAATTTCATTACCGTACCGTACGAGTACCGTATTTATATTCATATGCATGTAGTAAAAAACGGTTATTTCAACATTACAAACAGACACTCCGATTTTATAGATAACTCGCCCCGGCTTCGCACATGTGTTCCTGTATTATAGATATATATATAAACCTTTCTCTTGAATCACTATATCTATTAAAAAAAAACCGCTTCAAAATCCACTGCGTATACTATGGAGGTTGATCTCCAGGTGGTTCCTCCTGGAAACCGTCATGATAAATTCCTAGTGAATTTTGCCACGATGGGCTAACTGACCTGACTTCGTGTTCATCTTATCATTCATAAAGCGGGTGCATCATTCCATTACAATTAATAAAAAAATTGAATTTCAAAATGAATCTGTATTATTGTAAACATGTACAACATTTATTTGAAAAAATACGAGCTGAGTTTCTTTACAGTTCTTGTTATCGAAATCATTCCGAACTGGCGGTAGATTTGACATATCATAAGAGTCTGTAACAGACCTACATGAATTAAGATATTTTGAATTTGAATCAAATTCAAATTGAATTTGAGCAAACCGCTGCGGTTAATAAAATTAGTTATATATTCCGCTACCGCTTATGCTATACACCACGCAATAGTAAGCTTATAAAAAGTAGAAATTGTCCGAAAGTGGGGCATGCGTTTTATTTCAGTACTAAAGCTCAGTATACAGAGTGTGGTATACAAGTTGTACCACTCCGGTGAAGCTGTAAAGGCCAGCTGCGGCCAACAGCATTAGAGTAGTCCGAAAAAAAAACCACAGAACACATAATAACCTATCGGTATCGGTACACAATGCAGTCGGTACTCGTAATTCCCATGTAATTTTTTTTTATAATTGAGTTGTTACAACATTACTGTTGTTAGATAATAAAGTTCATACATTCATGAGTGAGATCACAGAAGTGTATATGATTATGTAGTAACGATATGTTGATTACTATTCAAATTTAAATTCAAAAATTGTTTATTCATGTAAGACATATTGGCAGCTTATGAACGTCAAATTTTTTACATTATGTTTTAATTTTTTCCCTACCGTCCAGTTCAGTATACATACATACATATAGATCATATTATCATCTGCTTCTTCCTTATCCCATTTATTAGTGGTCGTTGTAATATATTTTTCTCTTCCATTCATCCCTGTTCGCAGTCATCTCGTTATTTAGTCCCTTTCTTACCATATCATCTTTCACACAGTCCATCCATTTCTTATAACCATCCACATTTATATGTAAACCTTCATTGTCCTTGAAAGGTTTTTTTCATTCCTATAGATTACATGCGAAAAATAATTGTATCTATGCGCATACGAATACACCATGCATTCGTATGCGCAAACGATTTATTTCTTATAATATTATTATAAAAATTTTAAGAAATTAAAAAAAATATCTACATACTGACTATGCCATGTATAAATAATTATTTATTCATAAGCTTCCCACATGATATCTTTTTGGATCTTACTAAATAACCTTTCAATCAATATTTGCATACCGCTACGATGCTACTTGCATCGTAATGAATTGAAAATAAAGTTATAATTAATCTAAAATAAATATAATAAATAAATTTCAAATAAATGTTATACATGTTTACAATAATACACATTATTTAAAAATTCAAATTTGGGAGAATCATTCATCAGTCCATTTTATATACTTCTGTAAGCATCATCATTATTGTGATGTGTGATCATTGCAATGTTATTCTATACTTATTTTATATCTACACACTTCAAATCACTAATCCACTTAACATGACGATGCTTGATGATGTTAATCATCGAATGTAAGTAGTGCCTTATCATTATCAGATGTAATGTCTCAGACTGGAAGGTCATTGACCTCTAATAGTGATATCAGAATTAAAGACTATATTAATTTATATATGTTTTATATTATAAATAAATCTAAGAATATAAATAAAATTGGAGTGTCTGTTTGTAATATTGAAATAACCGTTGTTTACTGCATGCATATGAATATAAATAAGGAACATACTCCAAAAAAACACCTTTTAAAATTTTTGTCTGTCTGTCGTTCTGTTTGTTCCGGCTAATCTCTGAAAAGGCTGAACCGATTTTAACGGGACTTTTTTTGGCAGGTAGCTGATGTAATAGAGAGTAAGTTAGGCTACTTTTAATTTAGAAAAATAAAGTTAAATTCCACGCGGACGAAGTCGCGTGTAAAGCTAGTAATAAATAAATGACCCCGGACAATTAATTTATAGTTCCCGCGATCCATTGAGACACGTATCTCTTACACAACCTACCACAATGGAGCCACCTAGATAGAGTGCGCTCCGTGCCCTTTGCGCAACTCTCAACTAATACGGTAGTAGGTTCAATCACGGTTATTCTATTATTAATAATATCTTCTGGGCAATTCACATAGCGCCATCTATTCCCACGGTAAACAGGTCTTGTGTACCTCGTACCCACAGTACTAGACAAATGATATAAATACTTAGATATATTTTTTTAATATACATAGAAAACATCCAGACCGACACAAACAATCATACTCATGAATACAAATGTTTGCACCGTGCGAGGAATCGAACCAGCGACTACTGATACACTCCTCCAAAAGTCTAGTACAAAGGATTCGATCGTACGACTACCAAATCGTACCAAAGACTAAAATTCTGGACCCTTACGAGGCTTCTCCGACTACCTAGTACATAGTGATTATCTCACGACAGAAATTATTAGAGAGACTATTAGAATATGCAAAATACATTAAAATTCTGAAAGTACGGATCTATAAGAAACACTAGTGAAACTGCTGGCTTCACTCGCATGAAATTTATAGCATGTGTTATTCCGACGTATAAGCTATTTTAACTGTAAACTTTCATCAACTTCTGATTAGTAGTTTACGAGTGAAAAACTAAAAAACATCCATCCATCTATACGTCTATATTCATAAACTTTTGTGTTTATAACATATAAGCTGTGCTTGCGGTTCCACCCGCGTTAAGAAACATAATAACCTATGTGTTATTCTGATGCATAAGTTATATTACTGTAAAGTTTCATAAAAATCCGTTCAGTAGTTTTTGCGTGAAAAAGTAACAAACATCTATACTCACAAACTTTATAATATTAAATGATTAAAAACTGTTAAAAACAAATAGGTATCGGCTCGTATTTGAGCCTAAAAATAACATCACCATACTATAATAGTATAAACCTTATTTTTAACATGTTTAGATAACCAGCAGTTAAGTAAGCAGCAAGTTAGGCGTTAACTGTTTCAATTAGTGAGTTGTTTAACGTACGCGTTTATGTCTCGTCGTAAAACTTGTTGATTGAGATGTATGTATGTATTTGTGCAATAAGGAAGTACTCTATACTCTATATTATTACATTGAAGCCAAGAGTGAGAGTAAGATATCTATATATGTATATTATGTCTATATATATACTAGCTACTCACCCCAGCTTCGCACGGGTGTACATGTATTATACATATAAACCTTTCTCTTGAATCACTCTATCTAGTAAATAACCGCTTCAAAATTCGTTGCGTAGTTTTAAAGATTTAAGCATACATAGGGATACATAGATAATTTATCTATGTACTTTTATCAGTTATCTAATACCCGTAACACAAGCTTTAGATAGCTTAACTCGGGTCTAGATGGCGCTGTGTGAATTGTCAAAAAAAAAAAAAAGGTGACTGACTGACTGACATAGTGATCTATCAACGCACAGCCCAAACCACTGGACGGATCGCGCTGAAATTTGGCATGCAGGTAAATGTTATGACGTAGGCATCCGCTAAGAAAGGATTTTGATTAATTCTACCCCAAAGGGGATAAAATAGGGGATGAAAGTTTGTATGAATTGTCAATTTTAAACCGATCGGGCTGAGACTTTGCATGCATAAAGCTACTATGACGTAGGCATCCCCTAAGAAAGGATTTTCATAAATTCCACCCCTAGCGAGCGAAGCCGCGAGCAAAAGCTAGTACAATATATGTACATAATCGGAATGAAAGGCCAATTTCTACCCAAGGTTTTGAATTTTGTAAATGTTAATGCCTTTGCTCCTTGTTATTGTAAAATGAATTTATATTACTATGAAGAAATGTACATATAAATCATAATCATAATCATAAATATGGCTGGGTAGCGGCAATATCTTGGCCAACATCGAGATCTGATGTTTTTTTGTCTTAAATGCCATATTAATATTTGATGAATGATTAATTTTTTAATTATTTATTTTGTTTGCAGGATGGCACGACGCCCCTCATCCTGTCAGCAGCGATGGGCCACACTGACTGCGTCCAGGAGCTACTGGAACAGGGCGCAGACCCCGCCTGCTGCAGAACGGTATGACCCAACACATGTGTCACTCTACGTGGCTTTTTAAGTTTAAACAGACGATCTTCTTACCATTTTTTAACGGATGTCACTGGAATAGTACCCCTCCTGCGCTAACGGTTTACGCTGGCGGGGCACCGGTGGAGGATGATAAGATGAACATGAGGTCAGGTCAGTTAGCACATCTTGACAAATTCACCAGGAATGTATCACGATGGTTTCCAGGGGGGATCGTGTGTCAACCTAACATGGAGCATTGCTAGTAATGGGGTCATGAGTCCACATTACTGACAATCCCTTTCCCCTCACTTCTTAGCATTCCATGGATTAACTGTGCATGTGCCAGATCCGTCGTGAGGCAGAGAGGGAAACTACGAGCAGTTCCCGGGACTTGTGACTCCAGTGTAGAAATAGAAATGAATGCATAAAGAATGCCAAAAAAAATTATTTAAGCACTTTTGAATAAACATATTATTTTATTCTATCACCCATTGGGCACCAGACTCATTACAAGAAGAATGAGCAAGAAAATTGCGCAGATCCGTCGTGAGGCAGAGAGGGAAACTACAAGCAGTTCCCGGGACTTGTAACTCCAGTGTAGAAATAGAAATGATCTTTAAGCAAAAAAATTTAATTTAAGCACTTTTGAATAAACATATTATTTTATTCTATCACCCATTGGGCACCAGACTCATTACAAGAAGTATGAGCAAGAAAATTGCATGTTGCTCTTCTGAATAGTTATTTTAAGTAAATTTGGTTTAACTAGAAGACAAGTTTTAACAAAGAATGTTGATGTACTTCGGCAAGGGGCCCATTTTGCCAACATACACTCGACGTACATACACCTTCACTGCTCGTGTTTCTCACCCTGGTAGATAAATCTGATAAGTCTGCTAGTGCAGCTTTAGATTTGACGACCTCGGTGGTCTAGTGGTTTAGTACACCGTACGTCCGATGGTCGCGGGTTCGATTCCTCGCACGGCACAAACATTTGTATTCATGAGTATGATTGTTTGTGTCGGTCTGGGTGTTTTCTATATATAATATGTATGTATTTACGAAAAAAAATATCTATGTATTTGTATCAGTTGTCTAGTACCCATAACACAAGCTTTAGCTAGCTTAACTTGGGTCTAGATGGCGCTGTGTGAATTGTCTTGAGATTATTATTATTTATTTATTTTCCCAAAAATTCTCATCTCCACTCTTAAGAAGTGGAGATGAGAATTATTATTATTATTAGATACACATTCTAGTATAGAACTTACTACAGTTCGAGACAGGCCAAGATGTTTTATATTGCAGGGAGCTCTCCCGCCCGCTCCGACCACAATTAAATTGGCCATAGTCTTTTTAAAATATAATTAAAATAATATTAACGCAAAAAGTAGCAGTTTTCTTAGTTCTTCTCAACTGCTGTAGCTAGCCGAACTAGGCGTTATGGATAGTGATACAAGTTAATGACTTGCAGAAGTGTCAGACTGAAAATGTTGAATATAAACAAATTTTTATTTTGACTTTCTATTGCCACAAAATTACTTTGTAAGCTGTATCGGTTTTAAAGCTAAGGTTCATTCATTCATTCATAATTTAAGAGCTGTGGTCTTGTCGGTGGAGCTCTCGCCACCTTTTACGATCTTCTATCAATGTTTTTAGTTGTTGATACGACCAATGGCGTAGTTAGGTAAGCAAGGGCCCTGGGGCAAATTTGGGGCAAAAAATGAGCTACTGCGTTGTGGACATTACAGTTTTGTTAAAACGCACATATCGCTATCAGTCAAATTGACAACACTGCGAATCCACAGAAAGAATTTAGGGGAATTCCGAAGGTACAATTTTCAAATTTCTCTCAACTGAGCTGTCATATTTATTTTGTATTGGGAGAAATTTTGAAAAGTTCTGTTTGATTGAAATTTTCTGGTAAGGTTTCGAGGGCTCCCTGAGCTTTAGGGCTCCGGGGCGCTGCCCTGCCTAGCCTCTAGGTAGCTACGGCACTGGATACGACCCGACTCCAGCTTTTTCCTTAACCTGCTTGATATAGCTGTGAGTTGTTAAGATTGAGCAGTCAAATTACAGAGTAATGACATCAGAAATGGAAATTCATTAGAAGTACGGCACTACCAGTGTCGTAGGTAAATTTTTTGAGGTACATAGTGCTTTTAGATAGGTATATAGTGTGTACCCAATTTCTAAAATTCGATTTATGTTAGACAGGAACGAGTGCGTTGTTCTTCGCGGCTCAGGGCGGGTTCCTGGACATAGCCAAGCTGCTGCTCGACGGTGGAGCGGCCATAGATGCACCCAGCACGGTATGTACTGAGATCCTGAGTGATTGTTTGACGCCCTCCGTGATCTAGAGGTTTAGCAGAGCGTGTTACTTCCGATGGTAGCGGGTTCGATTCTTTGCACGGTACAAACATCTGTATTCATGAGTATGATTGTTTTTTTAAAATCACTAGTATCCTGACGACTTAGGCGTAATGCCGGTTAGTCAGGGAGAGAAACACCTCAATGCCTACAATATTCACAATTACCTATCTCTTATTTGTTTTTATAGTAATATAAACACTTTCGCTCCAAAACTCCCGCTGCCTACGTTCAATCATCCGTCATCCACTTGTCAATGTCACATAGATTACTTTGGCTCTGGCCTCTGACGTTCCGTTTCAGGTTACATGATTATTGACTTTACCATTTTTAATTAATGGTGCGTCACACGATAGTTAACAGTTTGTATCAGTCTGGATGTTTACTTGCCAGTTATCCGGTGTCACACATAAGCTTTGCTTAGCATGAGAATAGATGGCGCTGTGTGAATTGTCCCGAGACATTATTATATGAGTTAAATTCCATAGACTCTACCAATTCAGAGAACACAATAAAGTGAAGTTTCACGGTTAAAACTACTTCACATAATGTTAGAAATGGCAAAAATTAATCAACTCACGACTAGATGGATTCCGATGAATAATCGTTGCCGGCACTGAACTCCGAACGTTTGATTTGGTCAGTTTAATTTAAATGACTAATTTTATAAAAATATATATTCTTCAATAATAATAATTTATTATTCAAAGAATGGATTACTTAGTTTCTCGTTTATTTAATATCATGTTCTCGCGACTTCGTCCGCGTGGAAATTTACTTTATTTTTCTAAAATAAAAGTAGCTTAAGTTATTCCTTATTACATAAGCTATATGCGAAAAAAAGTCCCGTCAAAATCGGTCGAGCCATTTCAGAGATTCGCCGAAACAAACATACAGAATTTTTTTTTAGAAATGTTATTTTGGTATATGTACCGTATTTATATTCATTTGCATGTAGTAAAAAACGGTGATTTCAATATTACAAACAGACACTCCAATTTTATTTATATGTATAGATTATTACATAATGATAGCGGAAGTAAATAAAATAACATAAATCCATTAAGTACCTTTACATACAGTCTTTCCTGCATGAAAGACGATCCGTGCGTGAGAGAGCGTACGTGTAAAGGCAGGTATCATCATCATTATCATCAACATCACCATCATCATCATCATCATCACCATCGTCATCATCACCATCGTCATCATCAGCCGGGAAGACGTCCACTACTAAACAAAGGCCTCCCCCAAAGATCTCCACGACGCGGACGATCGGTCCTGCGCTGTTAATGGCAGGTATTAGGGGGACTATTTAGATAGTAGTATTTCAAATTATGGTCTATGTCCAGCAGTGAACGTCTTCCGGGCTGAGACGATGATGATGATGATGATGATCTCAATAATTTCAGGACGGTGGCACCCCATTATTCGTGGCGTGTCAGTGTGGACATTTGCCAGTCGTTGAAGAGCTGATACGGAGAGGTGCCAATGTTAATTCCTGTATGAAGGTATGTAATATATGTTTATTATTGTCTTTATTATTTGTGTGTATATTTTGTATAAATTTAATTACACAACGTAAAATGTACGTTTATATTTGTAGCTCGGTGGTTATCAGCTCAATGCTGTAACGTTATATATGATGTGATGAGGTGTCGGTAACAATGTATGTCTGTAGCTTTAGGATTTGTCGTCGTCGTCGGATGGGCCGTCATCTTGTTTACCATTCCATTTAGTAATAGTAGTAACTTTTGTCAATGTGCATGAGAGTAATGATGATGACGACTTTGGTTGTGATGATGAGGGCGACAATTATAATGAGGTGGTGATGGTGTTGCTGATGATGATGTTTTATGTATACCATCATCGTAAATGTCATCATCATCGTCATCAATAGAAACGACACTATGTGAATGTGGAGTGTCTGTGGTCACAGGACGGCGCGACGCCGCTGTTCATCGCGGCGCAGAACGGACACGCGCACGTGTGCGCGGCGCTGGTGGCCGCCGGCGCGCGCGTGGACGCCGCGCGGGCCGACCGCGCCACGCCGCTCTGGATCGCGGCGCAGTGCGGACACGACCACGTCGCGCGCACGCTGCTCGCCGCGCGCGCCGCCGTCGACCACGTGCGACAGGTAACACTCCACCACGTGCGACAGGTACCTACCATCACTGGGACGCCGCGCGGGCCGACCGCGCCACGCCGCTCTGGATCGCGGCGCAGTGCGGACACGACCACGTCGCGCGCACGCTGCTCGCCGCGCGCGCCGCCGTCGACCACGTGCGACAGGTAACACTCCACCACGTGCGACAGGTACCTACCATCACTGGGACGCCGCGCGGGCCGACCGCGCCACGCCGCTCTGGATCGCGGCGCAGTGCGGACACGACCACGTCGCGCGCACGCTGCTCGCCGCGCGCGCCGCCGTCGACCACCGTGCGACAGGTAACACTCCACCACGTGCGACAGGTACCTACCATCACTGGGACGCCGCGCGGGCCGACCGCGCCACGCCGCTCTGGATCGCGGCGCAGTGCGGACACGACCACGTCGCGCGCACGCTGCTCGCCGCGCGCGCCGCCGTCGACCACGTGCGACAGGTAACACTCCACCACGTGCGACAGGTAACACTCCACCACGTGCGACAGGCGCGGGCGACCACGTCCGAAAAATAATCGCGCCGCACAAAATGATCGTAACCGTTTGTGTCGCGCGCGCCGTCCTACTATCGATAACAAAGACATTGTAGCAGTGTCGAGCGAAATTAATTTGATTTTTTAATAATAATCGCGCGCAGTTCGTCGCGCGCGCCGCCGTAAAGTTGAAATGATTAAAAATATGCATGTTTATTATTAATACATAATTTAATTAACTATTGTATTTGATTAAGTATATCCAAATTTAACTTGACCCTTGTGGCCTTTTTTGTACTAATTCATCTGCTTTAGTATCATAAATCTACGCATTTCTGTCTCGAAGCTTCTTGCTATTTAATTTGTTAAGTGTGGAAACGAAATTACAACGATGAGTAATGTTGTGACCGACATATAAGATGTCATATAATATAATGTAATAATAATATATGTATGCGTCGATATCTATTTACCTTCTAGATGGGCGTTAGCTTATTTACCATTGCAATTAGTAGTAGTATTAATGATGTCAATGATGATCTCGATGATAATGATGGTGATGATATAGGCGATGATCAAGCATACCACCCCTCCGAAGGATTACCGTAGCCTACTGATGTCTAAAACGTCAGGGGTGCGTTGTCGAATCTTAATAAACCCTTAAAAACTCCATGCTATAGTTTCTAGAAAGAACCATGGCAGGTATGCTGATTATTATATCCATAATGATGCTGATGACGTTGATGATGAGATCGATGATGATGTCAATATGCCTGTATTATACTTTTTTTATACAAAATTGTTAAGTACATTTACCGTGTCGTAGAAAATGATCATCACTTATCAGCAATTTGTTAAAGTACACTCAATACTTAATTATTTATTTATTAATAAAACTAACAGCTTACAATTACTTACTTGTTTCAGGATGGTGCGACTCCATTGTTCAAGGCGGCACATAAGGGTCACGTCGCAGTTGTTGTTGAATTGCTCAAATATAATCCTAACTTAGGATTGTTACCTGTAAGTATTTTCTTTTTAAGTTTAATTTTGAATACATATACTTAGTTCGATTTTGTGAATTAAAGTAATAAGAAATTAAGTAGCTTTCCGAATGGATAGTGATAAATAATATGATGTGTACAATAGACTACATTGTGCTGTATTAATAAAAGGTTTTGAGTTTTGGTTTGTGATATTTAGGTCATTTGTAATATTTTAGGTTAGTGTACTTGTTGTTGCAATGCCATTTTTTCTGTGTTTTTATATTTGCTGGTAACGGGTTACAGTTACTAATTTGGGTGCATGTAATATTATGTGGTGATTTTAGACTTATCATGAGAAAATAAACACTAAATTAAATACAAGTAGATATGGATGATGGCGTTAATAGCATAAATACAGTAGGGTTAATTTGTTTTTAGTGTCAGACGCATGGTTGTTGCGTTTATGCATAGTTTATTTTGTGACTCAAACTCGAATCCTAATAGGAGATTCAGTTGGAGGAGGGTAATGAGTGGGAGGGCAGGTGGAAAGGAAGGAATAGGAAGGATCATGTCGTATTAGAAATACCACGGAATGACATCCATCCCTTAGGAATTAGCAAGTCTGGGATGAGGCGCTCGACCAGAGGTCGTGTGGGAAGCGGTGCAGCTTTAGGTGGGTGAGGGTCATTGTCGGCGTAGCGCATGTTTCTCACGAACTCCTCCACTGAGGGGTTTCTTTCGAATGGATGATAATAGAACGGTGCTTTCGTCTGTGCTAATGGTTTATGCTCAGGTTTAGCAGATGGGACACTAGTGGAAGGAAATAAGATAAGTAGAAAGTCAGGTCAGTTAGCTTATCGTGGCAAATTCACTAGGACTTTATCACGATGGTTTCTAGGGGAAATCGCGTGGAAGTCTACCTGACATGGTCGCTAGCAAAGTTATTATTCCATATCACTAGCAATCCTCATCGAGAGGACGTCGGGGTCGCCCGCACGTTTTCGTAAACTCGCATCATTGTAATCGCACCGGGGTAGTGGCATTCCGTTACCGACCACTGCTCGATCCTTTCGCGTGTCGTAACCGGGTGTGGCGGTGGTCCTCAGAACGGTCAGTCGGCGCTGCACGGCGCGGCCATGTTCGGTCAGCTGGGCTGCGTGCGCGCGCTGGCGGCGGCGTCCGGCGCGTCCGGACTGCGGCTGCGGGACGGCGCCGGACGCACGCCGCTGCAGGCCGCGCGCGCCGCCGGACGCGCGGACGTCGTCCACTACCTCGAGCGGCACCCGCTGCTGGCCGCCGCCGCCGGGCGACGCTAGCGGCGGCTACTACGCACCGCCCGCCTCTAGTGCGCCGCCGGGCGACGCTAGCGGCGGCTACTACGCACCGCCCGCCTCTAGTGCGCCGCCGGGCGACGCTAGCGGCGGCTACTACGCACCGCCCGCCTCTAGTGCGCCGCCGGGCGACGCTAGCGGCGGCTACTACGCACCGCCCGCCTCTAGTGCGCCGCCGGACGACGCTAGCGGCGGCTACTACGCACCGCCCGCCTCTAGTGCGCCGCCGGACGACGCTAGCGGCGGCTACTACGCACCGCCCGCCTCTAGTGCGCCGCCGGACGACGCTAGCGGCGGCTACTACGCACCGCCCGCCTCTAGTGCGCCGCCGGGCGACGCTAGCGGCGGCTACTACGCACCGCCCGCCTCTAGTGCGCCGCCGGGCGACGCTAGCGGCGGCTACTACGCACCGCCCGCCTCTAGTGCGCCGCCGGACGACGCTAGCGGCGGCTACTACGCACCGCCCGCCTCTAGTGCGCCGCCGGACGACGCTAGCGGCGGCTACTACGCACCGCCCGCCTCTAGTGCGCCGCCGGACGACGCTAGCGGCGGCTACTACGCACCGCCCGCCTCTAGTGCGCCGCCGGACGACGCTAGCGGCGGCTACTACGCACCGCCCGCCTCTAGTGCGCCGCCGGACGACGCTAGCGGCGGCTACTACGCACCGCCCGCCTCTAGTGCGCCGCCGGACGACGCTAGCGGCGGCTACTACGCACCGCCCGCCTCTAGTGCGCCGCCGGACGACGCTAGCGGCGGCTACTACGCACCGCCCGCCTCTAGTGCGCCGCCGGACGACGCTAGCGGCGGCTACTACGCACCGCCCGCCTCTAGTGCGCCGCCGGACGACGCGTCTCTGCTAGCGGCAGACGACGACATCTCCTAACGAGCTGTACACTATCCACGTCTAATACGCCCAGCTACAACCGACTACGCATACTAACGAATACACGCCGCTGGTAACTATAAGTAGTTACGACCAAATTTAATTATGTTCCGCCGTTGCTAATTAATAATTCTTATAGCCGACAAATTAAAATGTACAGCTTCATGATATATATAAGTGTTGGTCGAAAGTTAACATGATTAACGATTAAAAATCATAACTAATAATTCGGTTAACTATTGAATAACGATCATAATCAAGGTTGTAATGATTACAATTAAAAATGTTGTTAATTAAAGTTAAAAATTGTGTCCGAATTTAGGTTAATTTGACCGAGGTAAACTTCGTCGTCTGCCTTGGTACCAGTCATACATTTGGTTGTAATGATTACAATTAAAAAATTTGTTAATTAAAGTTAAAAAGATATGTCCAAATTTAAGTTAATTTGACCGAGGTTCACTTTGTCGTTTAGCTTGGTACCAAACATTTTTTGTCTCCAAACTTTATGCTATGTAAGTTGATATTCAGCTCGTTTACTATTTCAATTAAATTACTATTGTTGATGTGGATGAGAGTCACGATGATGATGTTGATAGTAGTGATAATGATGGTGATGTTCATCATCATTAGCATAATCGTCATCGATATTATCATCATCAACATCGTACATACACGACACCGATAGCAAAATCGAAATTACTACAAGAAGCGATTGGTTAACAGTTGATAGGTATTTTTTATAACTGAACTTCATGCCCGTTGCTCAAAATTAATCATAATTCAGTCTTCAGTCAACCTTCAATTAATCAAGCCTCAATAAATTACAAATTATAATTAATGATTAACGCCAGTAATTATAATTATGATTACTTTTTAATGATGATTTATATCAATCAAATTAACTGATTAAAATAGAGCAATTACTGCCAACATTATGTATTTATATATGTAACGTTTACTTATTTAAACTATGATTTATATATTTTTTAAATTAACTACAACAGTCAATTAGTGAAACTATAAATTATAAGCGTTTCAACTAATAATTGTTAGTAACAACATGAAAGTACTGTCTGTACAGTGGGCTAATTATGTAACACGATATGAAATTGTTTCTGTTGAAGTTGTGATGCAATATGAAATCATTTCAATTTAAAAAACGCGATCAAGTAAGGTCGAATGACCGCAACATAAATCATTTCTATCGATAAAACACTACTATGAAGTTGCAGCGGAATATTGTTAATCCGACCAATTTAAAAAGTCAGTACATTAGATAGCTTATACCTTTAGAGGGATACATTTTAATTTATTGGGTTGTTACACTAGTTGGTTGATTTGAAACAATTTTTATTGCGTTCAAAAATTACAAAATATACTGCAGCGTTCACTTGATCTTTTATTTTAATTTTATTAATAGACATTTAATAAAATAAAATAAAGAAAGTCTATTCTATTCTAATGAAAAAATAAGGTTAATAATTTTGAATATAAAAGCATATTTTATACAAACTATTTATAATCATTAATAATATTAATCTAACCTACAAATTAAATTTTCTTTTCTGCTATAGATACCTAGGTAAGTACGTAGGTATCCATATAAATTTAAAATGATATGGGCACATCTTTTTAAATTTGTACATAATTGTAAAAACTTTAAACAAATAAATTTATTTACTTTAAACAAATCACAGAGCATCATAAACGTTGTATTCCGTTCACAGAGCACCGTATTCATTGAAATAGTTTTTTAATTATATTAATATCATAATCAACCCTAATTTTATATTAAACATTTACTCTAGTTAATACAACATTCTATGTGATTTGGGACGAAAATAAAATATCGAATTGGCAACACTGATGTCGTGTTGTGAGTCGTGACAATTTTCCCATTTTAATAAATTTAAAACCTTTTCACGACTTTCTACGTAATATTTAATATAATAAAAATATATGTAATACTGAAAATTACCAAAACAAGATAAATAATGCTGCTAATGCTGATATTTTAAAGATTGTAACCAAAAGAAACACCTTCTAAATTGTTTCTCATAATGTAAAAACCGTTTCAATTCCACGCTGTCATTTCGGCAAAATAGCGATTACGTGACGTTGCAACGAGGTTACTAAATCGACATTCGATAGAAATAATTTTTATCGATATGTAAAGTTGCGTTTACGTTGCAATGCTAGTTGACAGCGTCAAATGGCGTCTATATGATCGCATTATTGACAGATGACGTCATTTTCACTACGTTACATACGAAAATCGTTGCGAACGAAGTTACATAATTAGCCCACAGGTCTATTACAGACTCAAGATATGTCAAATCTACCGTCAGTTCAGAATGATTGAGATGAGAAGAACTGACAAGAAACTCAGCTCGTATTTTTTTTAATGTTGTACATATTTACAATAATACTATTTCATTTAAATTCAAATATGCTATATTAAAAAAATCATAAAATCTGACATCAAACCACAGCTCCCACTTTCCCATGTCTACAAACTTTAAAGACACTTAATACATAACTTAGAATGAAATTACATTATGTATAGTATACACCTATTATAAACAAAGTCACCACATTTTGTATAATCGTTGTATTTTATACATCTTGCAATTTGTCAATTTGTGTTTTTTACTCTACATAACCTTCAAAAACATTTATGACAAGAGTTCCTACTTAATAATTAAATAACTGACAGAAATAGCACTGCAGATATTTTTGTAATTTAATATGATTTTTTTTATTTTAATGCGTAGTTCAGTTACAGAAATACTATAAATGTAGACCAAAGATTCCCAGACTTTTTTGTATCGTAGACCCTTTGCCATTTTCGGTTTTGGGTAGACTCCCCCATTCTTACCTGATATTGACTTTATGTAAATTTCTAACTGTAGTAAAGTTAGTGTCAAAAACAAAGTAAAAACAACAAGATGACCGCTGTTGTAGACCCTTTGTAGTGTCATAGACCCCTGGGGGTCGATATAAACCACTATGGGAATCACTGAAGTACACCTTTTATTGTAAGTTTCAGAAAATTGCAAATTACTTTCGTTTAACATACATAACAGTCAAAACTCACAAATCTCCAGCTACAAAACTCATACACTTGTATCTTATATAAAAAGAAACGTTCAATGTATTAATAAAACAACACTTTTTATATTCATTTTTTAATTATATATGTATAATAATAATTATACAATGTAAACATGTCCATTTTTATATAACGTTTAATTATTATTTACTTAAACATTATGCTACCATAAAATAAGTACTATGTAACTTAAAACAACAATTACTAGTGTTAGTTATTAAATAGTAATTATATATCGTCGGTTAAATAGAAAAATGACAGTATTCAAAATGAATTTTTTTTCCAAGAAAGTTAAAAGATTTTAAATTTATTTAAATTATTCTCCCCTTTAAAGTTTTTAAATTTTCACACAAGTATTATATATCATTTTAAAACTATTTAGATAATGATTAAGACGGCGTGGTTAATTTAATTGACTTATATAAAAGGAGCCAATTCGAGCTTCTAATATTGAAAAAAGTCTTTATTCTATTTAATCGACGATATTTTACGATACTAGGCACTAATGAAACTCTTGTTGTAATCTCAGAATAGGAATAAGCAATCTAATATCATAAAACATAATAACTATTTTGTATACCATGTACAATTATATATATATGTGTATATTATAATATAGCTAACCGCTTAATCATCCAGTCTTTGAAATTAATATTCTCACTGAAATTATTCTTTATTATCACAATTCTTTAAGAACTTACGAAATTATTTTAAGATGGAACATTCTGTAATTAATTAAAAACTTATGAAAGTATCTTAAAATGGACCATGAAATATTACAGTAATTTGAATATAAAATACACAGACGTAAATAAACTAAAATATCATTACATTTGTGTTATACTAGTAAATTATTAAAAACACCATAAAATAATCCGTTCCTTATTCGATCTCGATTTGATACAGTTAAATATCATTATTATTATAATTTACTGGTTTTTAAGACTAATAATTCTATGGTAAATATAGGTATTTACCTCTCGACGTCTTTTACTCACCTAGTGCAACTTGGTCGAAACGTCGAAAGGTAAATTTTTATTTACCTATTGACGTCTTTCACACAGCTCGTCTAGAGCAACTTGGTCGAAACGTCGAAAGGTAAACCTTTATTTACCTATTGACGTCTTTCACACAGCTCGTCTAGCTTTATTTACCATAAAATTATTCATGTTAAAACCCGTTTTACTGTATTAATACAGTACTAAACACGACATTTTAAAAATAAATAGTATATCCTGCCTGCACATATTAGCTTTGTTATATGTTATAGTGAAGTAAATGAGATATGGTTTCAGAAACTGGTTGTCAATCACCTGCCTTCATCATACCTCACATGTAGATTTTTACTAATAAATATATCAATACAAAAGTGATTATATTTAAATTCATCGAAACACAAACACAAAATCGAGCGTAGGTCGAACTTATTTTTTAAGATTTTTGTCACGGTTGCCTCCAATAATGATAGTAATATGCATGTACAATTATATACAGAAGCGAATACATGTGCAGTTTTTATCACTACACAAAATCGATTTAAATCAAAAACAAACGCAAAAACTACACAAAATCAAGTGTTGGTCGAACATACATTTTTTAAAGCTAATGTCACTGGACAATTGACACAGCGCCATCTAGTCCCACGCTAAGCAGATCTTGTATTATGGGTACTAGACAACTCTGCTACCAAGGTGCAGACATTTTATACGATCTGAAATAATTAACATTCTGTTTTTTATTATATAAGTTTGATAAAGTATACAGTTTGTCTAATATTGATCATTTTCATTAGGATTTATAATTTCGTAGTTATTTGGTTTTAACGAAAATATCATTTCGGGCCTTCGTCCGCGTGGAATTTAACTTTATTTTTCTAAAAAAAAAGTTGCCGAAGTTACTGCTTATTACATCAGCTACCTGCCAAAAAAAGCCCCGTCAAAATCGTCCCGCCACACCGGAACAAACAGACAGACACACAAAAATTGTAAAAAATGTTATTTCGGTGTATGTACCGTATTTATATTCATATATGTATAGTAAAAACGGTTATTTCAATATTACAAACAGACACCAATTTTATTTATATGTATAGATAATAATGGAATGGTACATCCGCCTGCGCTAACGGTTTACACTGGCTGGACACCAGTGGAGGATGATAAGATGAGCATGAGGTCAGGTCAGTTAACCCGTCGTGCCAAAAGACAATTTTCCACGATATTTTCTAGGGAGAAGTACGTGGAGGTCAACTTGACCATACATTGCTTGGGTTTTACAATGGGGTTATTAGTTCACATTATTAACAATCCTTTTCCCCCAATACTAAGAAATTATAAATTCAATTTTTGAAATGTTAAAATGATATTTAAGTTAATTAAAATTTAACAATTAATTTTTGCATTACTAATCTCATTATTATAATTTTATTATAATTAAGTTTATGTCGGTGCTCTAAATTAATTTAGGATATATCATAATTTTATTTTAAGCTAGTCAACCACTGTTGTAACAGTTTTTTAATTGGTTTACTTTTTAATAATTAAACCTTATTTTATAAGATTGGAGTACACTAATTACTTGTTGGTATTTTGTTTACTAATTGACAACTTATTAAGAGATGAAACTTGTTATATTCAATACTAGCTGTACCCGCGAATGGAATTTAACTTTATTGTAAAAATAAAAGTAGCCTAAGTTACTCATTTTTACATCAGCTACCTGCCAATAAAAGTCCCGTCAAAATCGATCCGGCCACTTCAGAGATTAACCGGAATAAACAGACAAAAATTGTTATAAAAATATATAATATTCAGATGCATGTAGTAAAAAACAGTTTTTTCAATATTACAAACAGACACATTTTATTTATATGTACATATTTATGGGAAGCACTTTTGTAGTGAACTAAAATTTTATTTAATGAATATATTGTAAATAAATATAACGTACATTTGTTATCACAATCCGAAACTTCGGTTATAATTTACTTGTTGTTTACAAATATTTTTACACTAATGTTTACAAAAGTAACACTTTCTGCCTGACTTTCTGCCATTAAAATCATTTAAGTTTTTTAAAGAGCACAATTTACAGTCAGATTAATATATTTTTTCCAAAATAATATATTTCCTGCCATTAAAATAATATAAGTTCTTTTAAAGGTAGAATGTACAGTCAAATTAAAATATTTCTAAACATTTCATGCTCGCTGGTGTTATGACGCATGTTCATGTTGTCTTAAGATTTTTTTCGGACTACTCTAATGCTGTTGGCCGCAGCTGGCCTTTACAGCTTCAACGGACGATAGGGGGCGAGTGCAGATGGCACTCCAAACCAAAGGAACTTATGGAGCGGCTGAGGCCAACTCCCGCCTGACGGATACGACTTTAGTCTGAGGGCACCGCTAGAGGTTGGAACCTCGGCTTAGGCCGTCGTAATTTCGATACCCGTTTCAATTGGACGAGGCATCGAAAATAGTTCTGTTATACATTGTTTACAGCAGTTTTATAATAATCGTAGATCTGTAAATCTTTTGTGGCATGTGTTTGAATCTTTCTTATACAACATCTGTAAGAATGTATTTCTTATGCAATCCTTAACTGTTGTATTATGATACAAGTTCTTATGTTAACTTAAATTTAATGTTAATTCGCATTTTAATATTACAAAAATGAAATGAGAAACTTTACAATATAATTATATAGATAAGATAATATTACCATATGTAATACTGCATTATAATTTTTATCAAGTTTTATATGTATGTTGTATTAAAATGTGGTTGTACATGTATACTAGTTGTATAAGGTCCAGTATTTTGTTGAATAATTATTTATGTTATTGGAATATAGTTGTTTTTAATTATACACTTGTTTTATTAAAACCACAAGGTCTTAAGGGTACTATAAAGCAAATCACTGTTTTTGAGTACACAAGGGTTTACTAATCAAGTTTCAATACAGGTACAAAAATATTTATATTATAATATTTATTATTATTTTAATAATATATGCCTTCCCGCGATCTTGACCAGATCGTCGGTCCACCTTGCTAGACCTTCCCACGCTGCGTCTTCCGTCCGATTCGCCAAACTGCCCCAACGGCCATCTGTCCTACGAGCTATGTTGATTGCCATTCAAAGTCGCAATTCTTCGGGCAATTCAAGTTTCAATACAGGTACAAAAATATTTATATTATAATATTTATTATTATTTTAATAATATATATATTTGGCTGTTAAGACCAGCTGCCAACAGATTCAACGGACGTTAGAGGCCGATGGCATTTCGAATCTGCAGAAGGACTTATGAAGCAGTTGAAGGTCTAGAAGTAGTCTAACTCCTGACGGATATGACTTTAGTCTTGAGGGTTTAGTTGAGATTAGACTTTGATCTAAACCTTGGCTCAGGTCGCCATAAGAAAATTCATTGAGAAAAGAGCCGACTTCCTTCTTTTTTTTCTTTGGACCGGGGCTTGTGACTGACTCGACTATCCAGATTAGAGTTAAAATCAAAGATGAAGGTTCCTGCGTCGAAATGCTCGCATAGGTCTCCAAGTCCACAGACTTGCAGACCTATGGGAACACTTGGACGCAGTAGCCGTCATCTTCAACCGTCAACTTCTTGAACTGGCGGAGTTAGGAGGTATTCAAAGCGACCTGTATAGGATCGACTGGCAAGGCGAGCGACTATTGCAAAGTCCTACACTAGGGACCCCCCGTAGGCCTTGGGGGCTGAGGGTAGAGTTTGCAAGATGGGTTGGGGTATGGGCGGATGAGGTACCACCTGGCAGTGCTACAATGAGCGGCTATAATTATAAGTCTATGCCTTCAAGAGTGTCATAAAGACTCGCAAGTATAGGGACCTTTTTCGGTTGGTACATATGATGTACTCCGTGAGTTGAGTTTTGTTCAGGCTGAGATTTTTGTCTTCTTCGAGAGGGTAAACGTGGTAGCCTATATTTCTCTTCCGGAGAAAGGTGATGAATATAATGGTTGTCTGTGAGTTGAGGTATGTGTAGGGTCAACCAACATTATGTCTGAGCTCGGTGGTTCGAGTCAGAGGTGGAGCTGTATATCGCCTGCGTCAGAGGGTGCGGAGAAGACTCGTGCACTAAGTGAGCGGGAATGGCTGCCTTAAAGGCGATGTAGGCCTTCAGGAGCCGGGGATCTTGCTTCGAGAAGAGAAGAACCTCGGATAGGGACATTTTGGCCATAATATGTAAGATCACTGGGCTTATTGAGTGATAAATGAGTACCTAAACGAACCTATTAGTGAATGATGGAGGATGTGATCATGGACTGTTGCTAATAATGTTGATCCTTTGAGCCGGATCACGAGATCTACCGTAATTATCGTACTTCCCGAAACGACTTGTAATCCCTACATTGCTGTCAGAAGACAATCTACAGATTCTATACTGTTTTAAATTAGACGTGGTCAATATTTACACGTACAACTAGGAAAAATCACAGATTCTTAACACGTTAATTTATTTTTATTGAGTTCCCGATATTTTGGTAGTGTTTCTGCAAGCTAAAGACTACAAATGGCAGACACGAGATGTCAATATTAGTGTTGGTACAATACTAACGAAACTATAATGTCATTACATGTGCGAGCATGTCTGCGGAGGCGGTAGCTAGCGTGGCAGCTGATGGTCGTAGACTCGGCAGCGTCTCGGTGCAGCAGCAAAACAGCGTCAGAGGTTCCGCGTATGTCATTTCAGAGATGTTCACTGGCACCAGGGGACGAGTGCCTGTAATTTTATTTCGGAAAACTTAACTTAAGTAACATTTTACCTATGAACCCACACTAGGCTATACTTAAGTTTAAGTCTTCAATATCAATAAGATACGGAAATGCCATTGCTGGATGGTAATTCCACCATGTGGTTGTGCATAAGAAAAAATATCTGGAAATTGCACAGTGGAGAATCACTGCAATTTGTGAACATCCAGGTGCTCAGGATTGTATTTTATTTCTGGCTGACAATTGGTAAAATTCAACATCTGGTAATAATCCAGAGTAATTATTAAAGGCTATGCTAATAAACACTTTGTAAAAATGCATATTATAAAATTGAATAGTTTGTTAACAAACTATTCAATTTTATAATATGCATTTTTATATAATAATGTTTTTGTAAAAGAACTTAATTCATAGCGCTAACAATATTATCTGATTACACTAAGAATGAGTGTATTACGGTTTCTATGTCGATTATTGCATGCTTCTTACTTGTTGTGGTGTAATTATTTATATAAAAAAATCTATTCAAACGAGCAACACACAGTCTTTTCTAGGTCATTCTACTTGTGATGAATCTGCATTCCAAATGAGTTGTAGAATCAAAAATATGACTATTCAAAAGTGCTTGTACTGAGTTTATTTGAATAGAGATTATTTCTACTTCTATTTCTAATACTGAAGGAACTGACCATAGTCCTCTGAGAAGAAATCATCCTCCATGCTAGCAGCACTGTCATCTAAGTTCACCACACTGTCATCGAGTGTGTCATCTTCTATCTGTGTGTGTGGTGGCATCATTGCCATCATCTCCCACAGTGTCAGACCAAGTGGCCAGATGTCGGTTTTGTTTGATATCTCCCCACCGTGTATCACTTCTGGAGCGCTCCATGCTTCAGTCCCTATAATAATAATAATAATAATATCAGGACAATTCACACAGCGACATCTAATCCCCAGTTAAGCTAGCTAAAGCTTGTGTTATGGGTACTAGATAACTGATCTAATACATAGATAATTAATAATACATAAATACATACATAATATATATATAAAACACCCAGACCCATACAAACAATCATACTCATGAAACCAATGTTTGTGCCGTGCAAGGAATCGAACCCGCGAACATCGGACGTAAAGCGGTGTGCTAGACCGCTAGACCACCGAGGTCGTCGCTATAAAATATAAAAAAAAATATTATATAAATAGTTAATTAGCCGGTCATATTGTTTTATTGCGGTAAGTCCAGTGCCTACATTCTGGTTTCTTAAAACTATGTGTCTATTCTGTAAGAATTAATCTTTCACTTAAAATTATTTATATATCGGATCGATCCCCCGTTCAATTCAAACAGGGATCGAAATTACGACGGTCTGAGCCGAGGTTCAAACCCCTAGTAGTGCACTCAGACTAAAGTTAAATGTATCCGTCATAAGTGCCGCTCCATAAGTCCAGTGCCATCTCCATATTCCGGCTGTAAAGACCAGATGCAGCCAACAGCATTAGTGTAGTCCGAAAAAAAAAATGTATTTAGTGCCTCTTTGATTTTTACCTCTTCAACATGTCTTCATAAAGAGCATACATCTATTCGAAATTAGGGATACGATACATTCGTACGCTAAAATAAGCCGGTAAATGCTAGTGTAAAACAATTTGCTATTAAGACAGACAGAAGAATACACCAACTAGCTATTAAGACAGATGCAGCCAACAGCATTAGAGTAGTCCGAAAAAAAAAACTTTTCTATACTAAACCTTCTATACCAGTATGTCACTGATCTGATTTGCTAACCATATATATCCAATGTCAATCAATAATATTTTTTTTATGTACGATTATTTATATGTATAGACAATGGAATTGTGCACCCGCCTGCCCAAATGGGTCCCCAGTTCAGGATGTTAAGATGAGCATGAGGTCAGGTCAGTTAGCCCATCGTGACAAATTTATCAAGATGGTTTCCAGGATGGTGGTCAACCTGACATGTTACATTAGCAGGTTTACCTGACTAAGACTTATGATCTTATTGCTAGCATGGTGCTAATCGTCAGTCTACATTATTAACAATCGCCTTTCTTCCAAACCCATAATAATAATGCAAATTTATTCAGCCTACTGGGACTGTGTATAATCCCAACAGGATCATATGTTGGACTCCATTCTCCGCAATTAGCCTCTCATTCGGGCCGTTGTGCGTGTTATCCCAACAGGATTAGATTGTTCTAATACCCACAGTGTGACAAATAATTCCATTTATACTCACCAAAATATACAGCTTTCCCAGCATGCTGCTTATCAAACACGCCATTCTCATCCAATGGCAAAGTGACACCAAAATCACACAGCTTGCAAACAACAAAGTCTCCATTAACTAGAACATTGTAGGACTTCATATCACCATGCAACAATTGCATTTTGGTGTGCAGGTAGTCGAGTGCACTTGCAATATCTGTTGCAACCTGAAATTACATTTTTTTTATATTGTATAATTGTTACTATTCATATATAATTATTGTGCATAAGACAATAATTTTATATTAAGACATTATAGATTATTGAATTTTAATATATTCAAAATTTGCATGCCCATAAATTGGGGCAATAAACAGTTGCCAATAATATTATTACCTGGACATATTACGGAATATCTAACTGTATAATATGCAAATAAAATTTAATTGAATTTAATAATAATAATAATAATAATCTCAGGACAATTCACACAGCGCCATCTAGACCCGAGTTAAGCTATCTAAAGCTTGTGTTACGGGTACTAGATAACTGATACAAGTACATAGATAATTTTTTTTTCGTAAATACATACATATTATACATAGAAAATACCCAGACCGATACAAACAATCATACTCATGAATACAAATGTTTGTGCCGTGCGATGATTTGAACCCGCGACCATCGGACGTAAAGGGGTGTGCTACACCGCTAGACCACCGAGGTCGTCATAATAATATCATGATATAATTAATCCATTTAGGATTGGATAGCTTAATGGTTTTAAGACCCTGAATTACATCCAACAGGTTGAGAGTCAATTTATACTACTAAATGACTCTCAGGTCAAGGAAACACTGATATAAAAAAACACAAGTGATCCTTCTTGCTATGTTGTGTTAACCAATGTACAGAGAGGAATGAAGGCACCATAATATTGAAAGTTGACAGTGTCTCTGATCACCCCATCAGGATTGCAGTCGCAATGGTATATTTTATATATAATATAAACTAACTGTACCCACGACTTCATTTGCATGGAATTTAAGTTTATTTTTTAAAACAAAAGAATTTTTCTAAAACAAAAGTAACCTTAGTTACTCCTTATTACATCAGCTACCTGCTCATAAAAGTCCCGTCAAAATCGGTCCAGGCATTTCAGAGATTAGCCAGAACAAACAGACAGACAGACAAAAAATGTTAAAAATGTCATATTGTTGTATGTAGCGTATTTATATTTAAATTCATGTAGTAAAAAATGGTTATTTCATTATTACAAACACATACACCAAAATATTTCGTTTACAATTTTGGACTGTCTGTCTGTTCCAGGAAATCTCTGAAATGGCTCTCTGATTTTGATGCGACTTTTTTTAGTATGTAGCTGATGTAATAAGAAGTAACTTAGGCTACTTTTATTTTAGAAAACAATCTCTAATTTCTTTGTTTGTTCAATTTCATGCATGTGAAGTCGCAGGTACAGCTAGTTGTATATGTAATTAAAAATTGACAAATAATGTAGATATTTTGATAAGGTTAAACAAAATCTTTACCTTCAAAATCTGTTTTGGTGTAAATGGCTCTCCAGAATCTTCTACCCGCTTCTCTATTAAATCACCCAGGGACACATCACACGCCTCCATGCCCAGGTACAACGTTTTAGTCTTGCTAAATGCACGGAAACCAACAATGTTGGGATGTGACATACGTTGTAACAGTTCCGCCTCAATTGTAATACGTTCTGAGTAAACTTTATGCTGTTTAACACGTTTATTCAACATTTTGAGGGCCCATGGTGATCGAATTTGACCTGCTCGCGGTGATCTTACTAACTGCATTACTGAAACTCCTAAGGGAGGAAAATACATATTTATGTTACTTATCAGTGGCAGTTAATTCAAAGTTGTATTGGTGGGGAAAAAATTTTGGGGCACTTGATTTCTTTGTAAACTACTATGATGTCAAACAAGCATACGGCCCATCTGATGGTGAATGGTTATCTGGATGCTTGAAATACCATAATACACCCTTCTTGAAAAATCCCATGCTGTAGTCTCATAGTTCATTCCACAATCTAAGTGTATGCGGGAGGAAGCTCTTCTGAAAGCGCACCGTCCGAGACCACTTAGGTTCTAGCGTGTGGGGATGAATTCCCTGTCGATGGAGAGCGATGCGATGGTAAAAGTCATCATGAATAATATTATCGAAGGAAAGAAGAGAATGGGAAGACCAAGGCACAGCTATACCAAGCAGATTGAGGAAAAGTTAAGTATCAACATTTAGAGGAACATCGACAAGAGCACGGCTCTTAAACTATGAATGAATGGGTGGGTGAGAAATGTACAACACATGCAGTTCAGTTTACCTGTACCATATCCGAGTCGATTTAGAAACGGCGATGGAGGTATTGTAATTTTGTCATCACTAACTTTGTTCTTCCTTACTGGAGTTTGAAATTCTGACATTGTTTTCACTTTACTCTCACAATTACAGAACACAAAACAACGAGTATAAATTATTTTCCAAGTCACTATTAGCAATGGATTTAATTTAATCTAGAACTTAGTTAATTCGTGTTTTAAGTTATTATGTAGTTGCTGGCTGGGTACTGGGACTTTCTAATATAATTACTACCAAAGAATATACTACTCAAGAGATTACTACTATGCAGCGGCGTCGGTTACTAAATTTGAACGTTTGAAATTCCTTCTTTTCACGTCCTATGCGTTGACATTTGAAATTTTTAACATTGACAACTGACTGACATTGACAGTCACAACGTCAACACAAATATAAAGTATTTATCCAAGCCATAAAGAAGAAAAAAAAGTATTTATTTTTAATTTGTGTATTTGAATATGTATTATCAACTTTTGAAGAGTTCTGATAGTGGATACAATGAATTAAAAATATATATAGTATAAGAATATTACCGAAGATAATGGCTGTATAGACTAAGTCTTTTGCCTTTTCCTGAGATGGAAAATACCGAACCGAAAAATAACATTTCTTTTTAATTAGCTCATTAACATTAATACACATACTGTAATGTACAGTTTTCGTCTATATTTGTAGTAAAATATATTTTTAACTTTTGCTTATTAGGGCTATTTTTAATATTATTCTTTTAAACAAGTACTATATATTTTTCTATTTACTTTAACTTTAACTTTAAGCTGCAGGTATAGGTCACCGGTTACCCTGTGTGTAATGTTTCTTGTAGTATAATAAAGTCTAAAGTATCTACCATAAAGAATCAGCGATGACTTACATATTGTTACATATTATTTTATGTTATGCGTGGTACAATAGGCGCTTTGCCAATATTTGCCCGTTATTTCACCTGTGAAATCGACGTCACGTCGTGTATTTGCGATTTTGCGTAAACTGAATACAAAAAAGATTACATCAATACATCACATAATACTCGTAATTATAATGCCTACCCAGTTTTTTTTAAGATATAGGTGTTTATATTTACACAATAAGTGTTTACTGCAGTTTCCTCCAGTTTCCTTGGGAGAATTTCAGGAAATCCTCTCTTAGTGGTTTCTACATAAGGTAGTTAGTTTGTTTTTTTGTGAAACAGTTTATAATTCTTTCCGTTACACTATAAACGTACAAGTATTTTTTGTAGATAACTAGAGCACAAAGCAAAAATTCTTCACTCAAAACCTGCTAATACCGATTGTGGAAAATAGGAATTTGTGCAATTTGTCTTGTAGCTGTCTATGAATCGCACGCAACTAGTTATTTACTAATATTATATAGCCATATAGTGTACTCGTAATCTTTATATATAAAATTACGTGTCACGTTGTTTGTCTTTTTTTTTATGGATGAAAATGAAATTGTGCTCCCGCCCACGCTAACGGTTTACGCTGGCGGGGCACCAATGGAGAATAAGATGAATATGCGGTCAGGTTATTTAGTCCATCGTGACAAATTCTCCAAGAATTTATCAGGATGGTTTCCAGGGGTAACCTGACCCGCCGTTAACCCAGGCGAGTGCACCATTCCATTGTCTTCAATTAAAAATGTAAAGTTACGTCATTCATTTAATATCTAAGGCAACACGCTAGTTTCTTGCTCGTTCTTTTTGTCATGTTACAGGTAACCGAATCAGCGGTAGAATAAAAATAATAACTATGACTACTCAAAAGTGCTTCATTTAAGTTTATTTGAATAAAGAATTTTCTTTATAATCATATTTTTTTACATATACTTTTTTGTAACAATATTATATATCGCTAAAGTACTGCATTTTCAATTGTCTTCGTATTTTTCCTCATATAACCCTCGATACCTGTCACTCATCAGGTATACCATATACCACCGCTTCAACATTATTACAAAGTTGTATAGAATCGAGCAAATCCAAGTCACCTGTTAAATAATTCATGAAAGCGTTACACAGTAGGCACTGACTTGTAATTATTTGGCCCTACACGGCATTACTAGTGTTTTCAGTGTTGTCAGATGACCGCTCCGTTTTCCACTCAAATTATGTTTTTCCCCGAAGAGAATTGTACTATAGGGAGGAATGGGGATTGTGAGTGATGTCATTGCTAGCAATGGCAGGTTGACCTCCACGCGGTTCCCCCAGGAATCGATCGTATATCGTGATAAATTCTTGGTGAATTAGTCATGACGGCCTAACTGACTTCATGCTCATCCTATCATCCTCCACTGGTGCCCCGCCAGCGTAAACCATTAGCGCAGACGAGTGCACTATTCCATAATCATACATAAAAAAAATGTACTTATAGGTTATCATTATTTTTATTCTTTGTATACGCACATGGAAAGAAATAGTTATATGTTAAATTTACAAGGAGCGAGCTCATCTCTCAAAAGAGATTACCTCCAGCAAATCTTGAAAATGTTATAGCAGAGGTTCCCAAACTTTTTTGTGTCACAGACTTCTTGCCATATTTTTCGGTTTTGGGTACACCCCTCATTCTTACCTGGTATGGATTTTTTGTAAATTTCTAAGTTTAGTATTAAAAACATAAAGTAAAAACAAGATGACCGCTGTCGTAGACCCCATGCAGTTTGTCATAGACCCCTGGGATCTATATCGATCCCAAAGTGATCGATATAGATCACTTTGGGAATCACTGTGTTATAGGATAATTAACTATGTCACCTATACAATAATGTACCAAACAATTTTACATTAAGATATTGTTGTATAATGCAATAGACCAGTCTTCATTAAGTAAAACTTTAGAAATGAATAGACATACATAAATAACAGTATTTACCTTACCATAAACAATGTAACCACTTAACAATATGATATAAAAACTTACACAAAAATACTTCCAATTAAATTTACTTTCTCCCACAAATCCCATTTGTTTACTTATATTTTTTAAACCCCGCCAAATTGTTGACCATACACAGCATTACCTTGTTTACAGTTGATAAACGCCTTGCTTTTCTCTCAAATTTTGTCAAAATTCCCGTAAAAAGAACACTGCATCTAAGATATTAGTGCTACAAGCGTACCATACACTACGTGTCCACTGAACAATGTGGTGGTCACTTTTTTTTTGGCTCCGGCGGTTTGTGTTGCCATTAGCCATTGCTGGTCACTTAACAACGACATTCTTCTATAAAAATCCTTCAAATTAAATTTTCTTCCCCTACAAATTCCGTCAATCATTTCTTTCACAAATATTTCCTATTAAAATTACCCAAATTTAGGGGACTCGTATTAATCTGGCAACACTGTATACTCCACGTATCAAACCTAGTGGGTGTTAGAGAAAGTTATTTTCCTATACCTATATAAAATCTATCTAAGTATTTACTACCTATATACGTGTTTTGTGAGTTAAACCGCTCTGTCTTATCCGGTACTAAAGTGAGGGTAGGAAGCGATTGTTAGTAATATTCCCCATTACAAGTGACGTAAAAATGACCTCTGTTAGCCCAACCGGGTGCATTACTCCACACTCCATCATGCACCACTCCTAATCGTACTCAGTCTGCTTAAGGGTTATCTATCTAGACACACGGGAGCGTGTCAAAGCCGAGTTCAAGTAAGAGAACTGGCGAGCAGCACCGTGTGTAGTATTACACGAACCATTTGAACCCACGAAGCATTTTGGTTCATATATTGAGACTGGACTGGACTGGAGCTGGACCAATTTTGAGGGGACTTACACTCGCAGATAGCTAATGTTATAAGAAATAACTTAGGCTACTTTCATATTAGAAATTTTATTTAGGATAATTCCATGCGGCCAGTCGCGGGTAACAACTAATGTTAGTTATAATAAAGTCATAGACAAATTATAGATATAATAAAGTGCATACGGAATACAAAACAGTGATTACCATTCAATATTCTGCAATAACACTCGTATTCGTTATAATACGTGAAGGTTACGGGCCGGGAAGAATAATTTTATGCCTATTGTATTTAACCGACCGTTTTTTTTTTAATTAATATTTTACGGCTCCGTATACAAGTCCTTTTTAGCCCAACATAAAATACAAAACCTTAAAAAAAATTATAATTTCTTCGCAGTGTTGGAAATAAATTTATATAAAGTCTTGAATAGTGCAGGCCTTGATAAGATCTCTTTAACCGACCGTTACTCAATTAGTGCTGGAATTTGAAATATTTATTTCCAGCTAAGGAAAGTATTCGTAATGAATAAAAAGGTAAAGAAATATATATATATATTACAGTTTATTATCATTTCTCGATGACGATATTTTATTTTATTCATCTATACATATAATAAAACAATAAAAAGGCCGAATGTACATAGGAAAAAAACGCCAAGAACCGAGTCAGAGGGATATTAGAACAGAAACAGAACACCTTTAGATTTTTTTCAAATTTATTTATTACTATCTGTACCCGCGAGTTCGTCCGCGTCGAATTTAACTTTATTTTTCTAAAATAAAAGTAGCCTAAGTTACTCCTTATTACATCAGCTACCTGCCAAAAAAAGTCCTGTCAAAATCGGTACAGACATTTCTGAGATTAGCTGGAACAAACAGAGAGACAGGCAGACAAAAATTGAAAAAAAATGATTTTTTTTCTATGTACCGTATTTATGTTCATATGCATGTAGTAAAAACAGTTATTTCTATATTACAAACAGACACTCCAATTTTATTTACATGTATAGATATAATTCAATAGCATATAAACTTAAATTTATTATTAAAAAAAAATATTTCCAAGTTATATCTTGAGTACATGGATCAAGTTTCTACATCTTTTCTGGTTATATTTTATTTATTTATTCTTCTCCATAGAAAATCAATTTATTTAATTTTCTTTTGTTCGAAAGTAAATAACAAAATATATCGCTTTATAGGTCTTGGAATAAAAAATAATAGTGTAAAAAATAATAGTGTAAAAAACAAAATAATAGTGTAAAAAACATAGCTCGTAGGACAGATGGCCGTTGGGGCAGTAAAGTCCTCGAGTGGCGACCACGGACCGGGAGACGCAGCGTGGGAAGGCCTCCAGCAAGGTGGACCGACGATCTGGTCAAGATCGCGGGAAGGCATTGGATGCGAGCAGCGCAGGACCGATCGTCGTGGAGATCTTTGGGGGAGGCCTATGTCCAGCAGTGGACGTCTTCCGGGCTGCGAT